TTTAATAACTAGAACATATTTAAGAGATAACTTTTATTATTTATCTGTATTTTACAGTAAGTGGACACACACACAGAGGTTGAGTAACTTCCCTAATATAGAACCACAAGAGACACCCAAGCTGTCTGGCTTAGGACCTTGATTGACCTTGTGCAAACTGTGCTGTGTTTCATCCCACAATATTCTTTGATAATCTCACTATTCTTTGATAATCTCAGAATTGTAAGTCACTTTGAAGTGCAAAGGGCAAAGTAATTAATGAGTTTTGAAAGATAATGAAATACATTCAAAAGTGAAAATATACATGAATTAATTTCAGGATAACCATGGTAAACATGTGAATGATTGAATTGATTCATTTGAATTACAGTGTTCTCAAACTGAGATGCTGGTCACTTAATGGTGGAAGCAGTATTTTGGGTTATTTTATTATGCTATATGCATGTATATATTGATTTATGAAATAGTATAGAGGTATAAATAAATGAGGCATTTTAATAATGTGAATCAAACTAAAAGGATTTCAGAAATAATACAGTCTTAGAAAATCTTAAAGAACCCTTATGTTAATTTATATCAAGCTCTCCATTGGGCTTCATTTAACACTTGCCTGAGAATTGGTCGCTCAAGGCCATTATAATATCAGCTGTGGGCATATATTGTTGTATTAAAAGGTCATGTGGAGAGTGACTAAAAAGCCAAACACAGAGTGAAGTGTTAGGCATCTTCCTTTGTCTAACTCTTGCTTCCCCTGAGATGATTTGAGGAGAGGAAAACTGTTGATGTCCAGCCCACCAAGTCTCAATTCTGGAGAGTCAAGGTCAGGTCATTCTCTAGATTCTGGAGTCTAGAAGGTTATTTTATCATCATAACTGGGGAGGGGGTTAGCGGGAGGGAATGAGGCCTGCTTGTCTCTGACATCTCATGGAAATCTGTAAGAATCAAGTTTTTATTACCTGAATTACTTCTTGAATATAAGTTGAGAGAATTAATGCTGTTGTTCTGAAAAGCAAAGGAATCTGCAGCATCTGTTATCTCATTTCTTTTCAAATCATCCCTATGAAATAGGAAAGGCCAAAGGTTATATCTTCATGTGGCAGATGTTAAGATAGCCACCGTGCAATAAAATGATCTGTTCACTCAGTGACAGGCTTAACTTTAGGTTTTCTGTGAGCTGTTTTTTATTTGTATATGCACATTGCCTTCTTTAATAAGTCTTAAGTATACACAAATGTCCAACAAGAGAAACAGATTATTGGCCACCTAAGGATTTGCATTAAAGTGCAGATTAAAGAAATATCCCCCCTGTCAAGCTTGGAGAAATTCAGCCATTTCTTCCTGTCATTCTCCCAGTCATTTCTTGGTTTCTCAAGCACTTTTTTCAATAAAGGTTCATGAGAACAATATTCTTTGGGTTATTGTGTCTTCAAATTGTTGGTCTCTAGCTTTTGTATTGAAAAATATTTTGGCTTTCATTAAGGATCTTGGAAATATTGCTCCAGTATCTTCTGGCAGTGATGTCACTGTGGGGGAAATCAGAGGCTAGCCCTAGATTTTTTTTTCCTCTCAAAAATGACAAATCTTTTTTTCTGCCTATTTCTTTTTGGAATCTAGCTAATTTATAGTGTTGGATCTCAGTATAAATGTTTTAGGTCATTTCTCCTTTTTTTATGCGTTATATGTTGAACATTTGTTGTTTCCCTGTTTTAATTTTCTTGTGAAGGGACTCCAGTTATGCATATATTGGCATTTTTCCTCTTGCTTCCTCCTCCTTTCCTCTTTCCCCTTTTCTTTCTCTGTCCTCCCCTACCCATTACTTCACTCACCACTAAATTCTCTGCAGATTGGGCCCCACCCATCACTGTATTTAGTATCCAATCAGAAAGATAAAACATCTTTTTACTTAAGATACTAGTGGTATCCTGATTGCTGAATCCAATAAACGTTTTTCAGATTTCATCCATTTTCAGCACTGTTTTAAAAGTAATGATCATTTCTTTCTTTTAAAAGTTCTTTATCCTGATGATGTGGGGTTTTTAAAAAAATAAAATGGAGTATTATTCAGCCATAGAGAATGAGAAACTAGAGACACTTATAGCTAAATGGATGCATATTGAGGCCGTACACTTTAAGTGAAATAAATAGGACACGTGTAAATACCAAATAGTCTCTCTGGTGTGAGAAACTGAAAGTGTAAATAAGGATTAAAATGATTAAAACAAATAGTTGATAATTTGAAATAGGAAGAAAAGGCCCATAGTGGTAGGGGAAGTAGGAGGGGAAGGGGAAAGGAAAGAAGGGAAAGGAAAAATTATGAGAAAAGGAAAAAATGGAAACAAAGTCTTTGTAAAT